AATTCAGAAGTGCTCGCCAAGATCTCCACGCTCATAGTTCAGCCTGGTGTAAACAATTCTGATAGATCTGAGTGCTAACTTCAAGCCCTGAGGCGGCCCGTACTTCTGCGTTTATTGTAGTATCGTTGATTGTTGGGTGAATGACAGCCAGAAATCTGATATCTGATATCCGAACAGTTGGACTGCGCGGTCAGTCAGCAAAATTATCCATGCAGTGGTACCTCTGTAATGTGGCTACGACATAGGATTGGGATACAGTAACTCTGCGTGCTATTTCTCTCGTGGAACATCCTTCTTTCCTCAAAGTTACAATCTTAGCTCGTAAAACTTCTGATAATCCTCTTGATATTTTTTCAATCACAACCTTCCCCGAAAAAATATTTTAAATCCGTTAAAATTGACTAAGTCAGATTACTGAATGAGCGTAAGCTTGGATTGCATTTCTTTTTATATGGAAAAATAATTGAATGCGTTTTATTGTTTTATATTCCAATTCTATATTTTTAAGTAAAGTAGCTAAAAAGAAGAAGAAATTATAATATAGTCTATCGTAACGAAAAAGATTTAGATTTTTCAAACTACGTGTATGTATAATATAATACAAACAAAAATTTATGAAAGTTATTGTCAATCAGTACTGATAGCCGTAATGTGCTATTATTTTCATCTAGGCGCTAAACATATCCGCTGCTGAAGAAGAACGCATGAAAAATAATGAAGATTATTCTAGTTCTTTAGGGACAGTGTGTGTTAATAATATGACAAGCAGTAATACTTCATTTTATTTATCTACACTCTATGATAGTACCATAAATTTCAGTAATCACCAGGTGGTCAGTTCTTTCAACAGAGATACTTAATTACGTGATGGATCCTTAATGTAAGATAATAAATCCATATCATGTAAAGAACGTATTTATATTGTGACCCTCTCTGTTGAGCGAACAGTAGAAATGGCATGTGTTGAGCTTGAGCATTTTAATGTTGTCAGTATTCACAGACCACCATGTTCAAGGTATGATACCTTTGAAAATATTATGGAAGAAGTTTTAGTTAAGTTTAATAAACTTGAGAATTTAATATCAATCTCCTGGAAGCTTCTACCATCAGTATTAAATTTTGCTCATTGTTCATATATTACAATCTTGATAATTTATTCTTTGAAGCTACACGTATTACAGGATGTAGTGCAACTTGTATTGATAATATTTTTACAGATGTTGTACCAATCAATAAATTCATAATTCAAAAACTAAGTTTAGACCACTGTGGACAACTGGTTTCATTACCATATAAGTACAAAAACCACGAAATTGAGAAAATTGTGTTTGTTCTGATTAATGCAAAACGCCTGGAGAAATTTAGAAGTAACATGATAAAAAATCTTCCATTGCTTTCTTACACGAATAATTCAGACTATTTATATGGAGTATAATTTTACCCTTATAAGCAATGGATTTAATAAAACATTTACTTATAAAATATTCTCCAGTAACAGGCGCAAGACATTTAATGGGTGGGCGACAGTAGGAATTCATAAGAGCAGACGAAGATTATATGAACTTTACTATGAAAGATCATATAATATTTCTGATAATTTTAAACAAACATGTCAACAATTATTCTCAAATGTTTAAAAGAGTTTGCTCCACAGCCAAATCTTTACATATTACCAACAAAATTAAGGCCGCTAAAATAAAATTAAAATGACGTAGAGTATAATTAATAGCAAAACCGGTAAAGACAAACCTCGTAACACAAATTGTCAATTGAAAATTAATAATGAATCGACTAAATCAAATCAAAAAGTCGCAGCGGTGTTTGAGAAATATTTCACCGATATACCTATTTTGACAACAAAGTCATTGAATACTTCTCCAACTGTCGCCGATTCATTACTTAAACAGAATATTAATACCTGTTTAAAATAATGTATATATTTTTTTATAGAATAAGGGTGACATTAAGCACACAGTCCACCTGATGGTAAGTGGTTGCTGTGGCCCATAGACATCAACATCTATCTTCGTTTGTGAATTGAAATGCAGATGCGTTGTCAGCCGTGAGGACTTAGTCCTCGCGGCTGACATACAATGCCTCTTTTCCAGTATAATGGGTCTCCGGTTCTCTACACTCACCATACGAAACACAGCAGCATTAAGCTGCTATTTTACACTGGTATTCTGTGTGAGCGTGATCCTTCCCCGGTCGAGCCGACCCATTCGTGCTATAACTATACTATTAATATAGCTGCAGCATAGCTCTACCACGTAAAAAGTATTAGCACAAGATATTGTAAAATATTTAAAAACCCTTGATGTAGGGAAAGAAAACCGCAGATTAATGGGGGATTTCTGTTACAGATAATTAATAGAATCAGGCGTTACTTTGCGGAAGTCCATTATATTAAATTTGACAAGAAATTACTTTGCGTACACCGCTAGATAAAGGTATGATACCTTTGAAAATATTATGGAAGAAGTTTATCTAGCGGATGTACGCAAAGTAATTTTTTGTCAAATTTGATTTCTGTTACAGTTATTTCGTCAATAATATATTTAATTGCACCCTATATTGCTATTATTTTTAATGCTAGTATCGATTCTGATGTGTTTCCTGATTTAATGAAACATAGTAAAGTAATACTCAGTAAAATTTTTGAAAAGACACCAATTGTTAAGTTTTTTTAATAAAAATAAATTACTCCATAAAAATCAATTTGGTTTCACAAGGGGTCGCTCGACGACTGACGCAGGTGTCGAGCATATGAAATATATTTTTAATGCCTGGGAGAGTTCACAATATGCCTCAGTTATTTTTGTGATCATTCCAAAGTTTTGGATTGTGTTCATCATGAGATATTAATCAGGAAACTACAACATTACGGTGTCAAAATATTGCGCTTAGACTAATTATTTCATATTTAAATAACATAATTCAAAAAGTCGTTATCAATGGTAAAGGTTCGCCCGTAAATTAAAACGTAAAGGATCCGGAGGAATCTTTACATTTTACTTTACGGGCGTTCCTCAGGGCTTGGATTCATTTGGCCCAATCCTGTCGTTAGTCTATATTAATGACTTACCTTATCTTCTAGGGGACAATCACGATATAGTATTATTTGCTGATGACACCTCTTTAATTTTCAAACTCAAACCACATTCAGTTAATTTTGATAATGTAAATAATCCACGATCAAAATTAGTACATTGGCTTAATACAAACAATTTTCTCTTAAACGGCGATAAGACAAAATTAATTAAATTTACAATACCTAATATTAAACATTCAAATACCAATGTGCTCTTAAATGGTGAAGAGTGAGTCTTGTGGATACCACTGTTTCTCTTGGTATTAACTATTGACGTGAAGCTTCAATGGGGCCCCCATATATCTAAATTAGCAAGCTGATTTAGTTCTGCAGCATATGTTGTAAGAAAGATTAGACGTTTCACCAAAGTTGAGACAGCTAGATTAGTAGCTGACATCGAAGCTATATTTGTTTCGCAAAAGAGAGTTGTACGGGCGATTTATAACTTAAATTATAATGAGTTCCATAGAAAAAAATTAAAAGGTTATTATAATATCAAAGAATACACCAGTGAAAAAACTCCTGGGAATGTGGTGATCGCCACCATGCTGGTTTTATTAAAACTCATTTAAAATATGTACAAACAAAAAAGAAACAAAATTATTGTAAAGTGTAAAAACATGTTCAAAAAAAAAGTCCCGCTGGGTTTCTTGCTGGTTCTTCCCAGGATAAGGGTATTTTCCGAACCAGCGGTAAATGAAAAAATGACTACAATAAGTATTATGTAATAATCAATAATGAATAAAAATTATTCATTTCTATTCTATTTTTGTTTGATTGGTTTTTAATACAAATACAATACAAACACTCACGCTCATCACCCAGAAGGGTAGGCAGAGACTACGGACTTCCATTTGGCGCGATCCTGACACACCTCTCTCGCCTCCTTTACATCCATATATTTACGCATACACGCTCGTCGGTTAAGCGTACTCCTAATCTGGCCCATTTTCAATGTATCGCCGATTAGGTCGATTAATCTTCGTCTAGGGCGTCCCTTCCCGACTTTACCGTTCACAGTTTTTAATTGTTATTGAAAATTATATTAAGGCGCAGTAGATGTTAGGGTTGTTCAAATTTTTTCCTTTAATTAAAACATCCACATCTTACACAGGATTTTACCCTCTATCATATAATATATGCTTTTTACCTAATCAATAAACTTTGGTCAGAGTTTATGTTCGTTAATACTTTAGTTCACTTCTTCGGAGGCCTAAATCTGAAATAAGGTCTTGTTTTTCAAGAGAGGCAACGAATAAATTAAATGAATGAAAAATTCGAGTAGTTTACTTTTTACCGTTTAATGCGTTATATATAATATTTTATCCAATGCGGTAAAAACTCTAGACGTTATGATGCTGTCATTCGTTGGGACAGAATGCAGAATAAATGGGTTTCTTGTATGATCGCAGATTACTAAAGACATCTTTCAATAATTGACGGTTCCGTGGCGCAGTGGCTTAGCAATGAGTTGCTGCGCTAGGGGCCGCGGGTTCGAATCCCACACGGAACAAGTATTTGTATGGCCTACAAATAATTGTTCCGGGTCTAGATTTTTGTCCTCGTGCAATTTATTATTTTTATTATTGTTTTTTAAAGAAAAGAAAAAAATAATAACATTATTCCATTAATGTTGCTAAAAAGAAAGAAATAATAGTTAATTTTTGTTAAACAAATGTTTATTATTTACAGAGAATATTAAGAGATGTGTTCTATATATTACTGATACATATATAATTTACTTATATAAAAAATATATCACATTTTATATAAATTTATCAAAATAAATGTTACATATTTGTTATCACTCGTATGGACTCTATCATAACATCTGTAACTGTTTTTCAAAGGCTGTAAAAAAAGTCGTTTTCTTTTTTATTTAAGTAAATAAACTAATATTTAATGCAAACTAAACTGAAGTGGCAGAAGTGCTTACATTGTCATTAGACGGAGCCAAAGTAGAAACTGACTGTTCCGTTGATTTTACTGGTTCTTCTGTTTTTGTGTCTTCGTATGAAGATTTTCTCTCTACATTATTGTCTGAAGTGACGTTACTTTTCGAGACAGTTTCATTAGGTCCAGCAGGTGTCGACGTAGGTCCTGATGTAGGTAGATCTGAAGATTTTTCGATGAGCGTTGCCGTTGTTGTTTCCGAGAAACTTAACATTTCATTTATTTGATCTGCTGGTATAGTTTGTGTCGAAGATTCTTCAAATTTTGATAAATCTTTTACAGGTTGAGTTACTTCAGTAGTTGTTGCAATTTCACTGGAATGAGGCATTGTTTTAAAGGAGTAACTCACATCTGATTTAGTGTTAGACTCAGAAGCAGTAGACGATTCAGTTCCTTGTGTAGGTGGCGGAATAGTCGTTGCATTTATTTCTGATTTTTCATCAGTATCTACAGAAGAAAGTATCGCAACAGATTTGGTAATTTCTATCTTTTCTTTAGGATTTGAAGAATATTTAGTTGTGACTTTAACAAAATCTTGAGGCGAAGAAGAAGAAACAGTTGTCATTTCAGCTGTAGCTATAGGTGTAATTTCGGAAGACTCATGTACGTCACCTACACTATGAAATTGTTTTTCAGACGGTAGTTTTATACCAGTAGTTTGTGTTGATGCAGATTCACTGTTATCCAATAATTTTAACGCACGTCCAGACATTTTACTTGATGCTGAAGAAATTTGGACAGGACTTGGTGCTCTTGGTAAATGAGTACCCACAGGTCGGAAACCATTCTCGTCAGCAATGTATCTGTTTAAATGACATAAATTTTTAATTGATATGACATCTAAGAATTATTTTATCTCTAATAATTATTTAATGACTAGTTAAAAAGTAAAAAACCTCAAAGTAATGATGGTTCCGTCAGGCGCAGTATATGAATATGATCCTTGTTGTACATGGATTTCGTCACTGTAATCGCTTTCTTCTTCTTCTTTGCTGTTAGCGCTACGACTTGTTGACTTTGGAATAACCTTATCAAAGGATGTCTCCTCTCTCTTTATTCCATTTCCAGTTTCATAACTAAAAAAATATATTGTATTAAATTTGTTTTCTATAACTCAAATGAGAATTTCATCCCTAATTAAATAAAGTATATGACATGAACAGAAACAGAAACTTTTTTATTCAATATAGATTATAAATAATACTTATTGAAAGTCACTCTTTTGTTTGATTACCACTGGTTCAGAAAAAACCTCTGTCCTGGGAAGAACCAGCAAGAAACCCAGCGGGACTTTTTTTAAAAATAACAGCTTACAATCATGATGTTACACAAATTAACAACACAACAAATTAGAAATAGCTTGGTAGCGATCACCTCATTTCAAGGGGAAATGAGGTAATCGCTAACAAAACGTTAATAATACTGCAATTTAAACAAAGCTGAACTCTTCAGATTCAGCTACAATACTCTTTATTTAATCCACTGGTTCTAAGACCATAGACGTTTCAAAATGCAGCAGCTTGCATGTTTAACTTTCATAGAAAAGATTTGCCCGTACTCAATACCCAGTACAGATTATTACCAAGCAATAAAAGTTGTGTTTCTCACTTCGAATAAATGTATTATACGTCAACGTCGTGGAACCCTATTAAGAAGATTAGTGTCATTTCATCAAATGAGTAAGACTATGAAAAAGAAATTATTACACTCTCATTTATACACTATAATCTTTATATATAAAAATTACGTGCCACGTTGTTTGTCCGCAATGAACTCCTAAACTACTGAACTGATTTCAATGAAATTTTGCACACTCTGTGTAATTTCCTCCAACTTGAGAGATAGGATAGTTTTTATCCTGATAAGTGACACTCAATATTTTTTTATTACGAATTTAAGGATTTTTTTATATGAAGGGTCGTCAAAAAGGACAGAACAACGTCTGCCTGGCCAGCTAGTACTTATATAAAATAAATGTGTTTCATAGAAAAAGTAATGGGAAAGGTATTCTTTGGTAAGTACTCAGCTATCTTAAGTATAAAAAAAGCGTTCTTCGTAGATCATGATCAAGGAAGTTAAAAATATTTTTTTATCAATAAAGTCTATGTCAATAGTGATTTTCTGAGTTACTAAAATAGTAGTGGTATAATTTTAGAAGATATATAATTTCATTTCAGTATCTAGGTAAAATGTTTAATTCGTCAAAGTATGTTTGTAACACAATTGTGTCTGCTTGACCGGAGAACGGCCACGCTCTCACAGAATTCCATCATAAAGTAGTAGCTTAATGCGTATTGTGTTTCGTATGCTAAGTGTAACGAATCGACTCTTTTCATTGGACTAGCAGGACAGAAACGTAAAGAGAAAACTGTAGCAAGAAATTATCATTTATTCGTTACCAGCGTGTTTACAAACCGGATTTTAACTTCTTCTGAATTAAGAACTAAACTCCGAGGCCCCCTTCTTGTCACATGCCATCGAGTACCTTAAGTTAATTTTGCTCGCAATCGTAATCACGGAAATTGAAATAAAGATGCTTGGAGTTATGTTTTATCCACAGTTGACTTCAAATTTTTCCAAAAACCAGATGATGGAAAAATACAAGTATGGAGACACCCGGAAAATAAGTACGCTCAATGCAACATCATTGAAAAAGAGGCACATGGTGGAGGGTCAGTTTTGGTATAGGGAGGTATGGGGGCACGTACGGGATTTCATTGAGAATGAGTCACTAATAGCGGCATGATATGTAACTGAGATTTTTGAAGAAATTTTTTGTAGGAGATTTGTTTTTGTGCGTGATAATACTCTGCCTCATACTGTCGCCGTAGTAGTCGTATACCTCTGAGACGTTGAAATCAATAGTATGGGATTGTCAGCGCGCTCGCATGACTAATTATTATAATAGAGCATATATGGGATAAGCTTATAAGAAAATTTAAGATAAGAAATCCTGCCCCACTAATTTGTGAAATCTTAAAACGTATTACAGGAAGAATGGAACACAATGTCTCAAGATTTTATTAATAACTTGATTAGGAGCATGCCAAGGAGACTGGAAGCACTTCGAAGAGCTAAAGGAAGCAACATTAAATACGGATTATAGTCCAAGTTATAACCCTTCTTAAGCATTTATGAAAAAAAAAAATCATTAAAATATTAAGTACAAAATATTTTCGTCCTGTTAAATTTTTACTTTTTTTTTTTTTCTTAATTTGGTTAATTTTTGTCACTTGATCGTTTGTTGTATTGACTTTTATAATTTTAAATTACCAAATAATAAGCAAAATCGAAATTAATAAACCTAGTTGTCACGATATTTGTTTTAAACAAACTTTTTTGCGTTCCTCGAAATTTGTTCATGAGTGCATAATATTATCTATAATTATATCAATGAAAAATACACGTATATTTTAATTAATATGACTTAATTAAAATATAATATATACTATATGTTTTGCTTCTTTTTATGTAAGGTAATCCTGGTACAAGTATATGTTTTGTCACGTGTAAGTATGTAAAAATTACCTGAACTTAAAAGTTCCATTTGCATCCAGTTCCTCAGATTGTGAGACGATTGGTATGACAGTTGGTTGTTGTTTTTCCATTGGCGCAAGATTTTTAGGGGCTCCTAAGGTACTTGCTGCCACAAAAATGAGTAAAACTAATTTAGATATCATATTTCCGCTAAGTACAAAATCACTCCCGATATTGAGTAATGAATGGTACTCCAGACTTCATAGGCACTTATATGTAATACTCATCTATTTACATTACATCCTCCCCCCGCCTTTCAGTGCTATGAGTCTCAGTGGACGCTAAATACTTCAACCTTAGCAGTTGACTGATGTGTTCTTCGAAAAATTGCACAATCGCCAAGGTGTCAATAAAATGTCATGAAGGGTGACGAACGCTTGTTATTAATACAATTTCTTTATTTATTTAGCCATTTTAGATTTATATTATTATTTAAAATATTATAGTGAGTATAATAAGGAAATGCAAATGACAGTTTTTCCGTACAAATTTTTTATTACTAACAAAACTCAGTAACATAGTCCAACGTTGCTGCAATTTACAGTAAATAAATTAATAATGCAATATTACCCTTAAAACTATCTTTAGCGTTATATACAGTCCATTATTTATATTGGTAAGTATGATTTTTAATTCGATTGACTCGGAAATGTCCGTCATCCAAAATCTTTTATTTTGTCATCTTTAATTTAAAGGTTTATAATTTATATATTTAGAATTATGTATTTCCGCATATTTTTAATATAAGCAAACGTTGATGTCATACAATATCAAAACAAAGTTACCTATTTATAAAACGCTTTTCTAATTCTTGTTAGACAAGTAATTGGTTATTCTACGGGTATAAGATAGGTTTGACTTGGCCTAGTGACTCATCTTTATCAAAACATCAAGCGAGTTAATGTTGTTTTAGTGTTATTTTTTAAAATAAGTCTTCTTTACTATGTTTATAAAAAGGTACTTAATATTATTTATAACAACAATCATACTTAGTACAAGTTGTATACATGCACAAGATGAAATAAATGGTCGTTATCGCTATAACCTTCCATCATCGGCAGAATCCCTTGATATAGTGCCAGTTGCAGTAGAGTATGGAAAAGGAAAAGCAGGTGAAAATAAAGCAATCAAGTATTCTTCTGGCTTAAGAATGATACCTAAAGAAGATGCAATTATTACAAAAGAACTTTCAAAACAGAGCGATGTTACACGAACAGAAGGAGATAAAATTAAAAACTTAAAACAAAATATTTCAGTCTCAAAATCAACAAATTTACAAATACCAGTGAGTGTAGTTTATGAAACTGTGCCTAAAAAAGAAATTGATCAAAATTCAAGCCCAACTATTAAAAGACGAAATCAAATAAATAGGCGTCAACAAAGACCGAAAACAGATAATAAGCCTCAGGCAGTATTGGACCATGACAGGACAACTAAAATAAAAGAAAGAAAGGATTTTACAGGGAGAAAGGAAATGATGGCGATATTGTCTACCACTTTGCCGCCGAAAACTAAAAGTCTAGTAAATTTGACAGCTAGGGATCCAACAGAATTGGTCAGCAAACACCGTAAAATGGAAGGAAATAAATCTACCATTTCTAAAACAGAAACTTCATTAAATGAACCGCATAAAGAAATAACTCAAAATACTATCAACAAGCGAAAAAATAAGCGAATGCGAAATCAGTTCGTACCGATCATAAATGAAGAAAACTTTGTATTTTCACACAGTGGTAACTTTCATTATAGGTAACTGTCACGGAGTGTGCTTAATACTTTTTTTTTCTTAGTGTTAAAATAATAAAACACTCTTTATTTTTCACAGCTTCGAAGGTGGTGACGGGACAAAAGTATTTGAGGAAGGCAAATTAACATCGATTAATAAAGACGAAGCAGGTGCAAGTGTGAAGGGAGGATTTTCTTATACAGTAAGGAATACACTGAAAGCTTAAAGTTAAATTAAAAGTTACTGACACTACATACGTTCCACTGCTGAGCACATACCTCCACATAATTTCTGAGAGGATTTTTATCACAGAATGCGTGTTGTCGGACTTCACATGTCTTCAAAATATTTTTTTTTAATTTTGCAGATATTCAGGTATTCATACGATGTTTTCCTTTCCCGTCTAGCAACTGGTAAATCGGCACTAACATTGCAATTAATTATTTTATTAGTGCCGGTTATGATCAAAACAGAGCTGCCCGTGTACTGTGAAATTTATGGTGAACGCTTAACTATCACGGCTCTTTAATAAAATAACTTTGACATAAGACAACAATTTTAAATCTTTAAAATTTTATATGTGTATGCCTTTAAAAACGCAATACAATCAAAAATATTTTTTTAGGATAACGAAGGCAACGATTACAGCCTCTCATACACAGCTGATGAAAATGGTTATCGACCAACTGGAGCACATCTTCCCACGCCTCCTCCTATTCCACCGGCAATTGCACGAGCCTTAGAATATCTTGCTACTAAATCTACTCCTCACCCAGCTACTGAAGCAACAAGCAAGTTCAACTAATTTTAATACATTTTATAACTGTGTAACTAAATTATTAAATTAATATTTAAATAAAAGTTGTTATATGACATATTTTTTATTACAAAATATGCAAAAGTGATTCGGTATAGCACTCAATAAAAAATGATTAAATCATTAAAACGTAAATCTGAGAGATGTGCTGAAATAGTTGTCGATTAAATTATTGTGTATTCTTTCAGTAAGTATTTAACACATTTGACTGAAATAATTTGCAAAGATTAATATTTTCCGTAATTTACATAAATATTGGACATGTGGTGTATATGATTAGACTGATATATTACGTGCTTATATTTATATTGATTAACGTATTCTATATATCGAATACTTCGATTTACATCTCGAACGCTAAGCGTAGAGGTTGGACTTAACTTTGAATCTGTCAAGGTCACGCAACTGACTAACATTAAATCAGGTTTTTTATTTTGATTGCGCACTGAGACTGATGAAAATCAAGTTAATATTAAGAGGAAACACTAATGATTAAGCCCGCTGCTTTAATTAAGTTTTATAATACGTATTATTATAAAAGACGACCAAGTACGAGTCGGGCCCCATCCGTTATTAGGGTTCCATACAAGTTATAACCAATTTTGATCGATATTTAATAAGTTCATGTCTTTTTGTCTATGGAATTTTTCATAGCGTTTTTTATAATAAATCATTACTGCTAAAACTGGAAATTTGAGAATTAAGTAAAAAAAACTCATACTGCAGCCATTTTTAGGATTCTGTACTTAAAGGTTCTGTCCACTTATTCGTCCGTATGTAATCCATTATTCATACGAGTTAGAGATCCACTCTAACTGGTGGACGTAAAGACAAAATGGAAATTTGGTGCAGAATGTTGTATGAAAAAAATCTTTTTTTTTTTACTCTGGTACATGATGTATCTGGAGCTCATTAAATAGAGTGAACAAAAAATCAATTTTTCCTGTGTAATTATGCCTCCCACACATTTTTGTTATCGTGGGAGAGCAAAGGCCTTATATCGTGTAAATATTGTAAGCCTTTTCCAAACGGCAGGCAGTATTAATTAATAAAAAAATAAGAAAGACAATATATTATTCCTTAACCTGCTTCAAGCCCTTCCCTCGGGAATGGTGTTCTTTAAATTAAAATATTTATTAGGACTACTAACGGCTATCAATTATAACTAAGTTATGAGGGCAACACAGAAAGCTGTTAGAACTGGAAACTTGGAGTTTTGGCGGGAAATTGACCGGCGGCGGTTTGCTGCTCCTGTATTATTGTTTAAATAATGGTTTGAAGTGGACTTTGATATGTAAAAGTGTTGCGATTTTGTGTATTAAGTGTCTACGCATGTGAACTATTAGTGGAAACAGTGAAACAAGTGCTCTGATGGTGATGGATTCTCAAGATAAGCTGTTTGTTTGCATAGGCACCTTTAGATACCATCGCCAACTGTCAGCTGTCTGCTGGATCAAGTTGCCGCCAAAATCTCCCAAGAACTGCACAATGTGACGCATCAACATATTGTGAAGCAGTATACTATGAAGGAGTGGGGAAATTACAATAAACCGAATAAAAATACTTAAGACTTGGCCTAAAGGTCTAGATACCAGGCCATAAACTCCAAAAAAAAAAGAACTGGAAACTTGTAAACGATATAATGAAAAAATAAGTTCAAATTTTGAAAATGGAACTCTTTGCCAATATTATTGTGTATGTATTTTATTAATTTGTTATTTGTTTACGATCTGGCGGCAAACTGAAAATTGTCTGTGTCACGTCAGCTTGAATATAACGCGAGAAAATGTTCGTACAATGATTTTTTATGACTTTCGATGTCATTTAAGTCAACAAGAAAGTAATGATAGACTTCAATTGGCCTTTCACGATGAAGCCCCATCTCATGCCACTGTTTACAAATGGTTTAATGAGTTTAAACGTCGTTGCACTAATCTCGGGGCGGCCTTCTATGGTGACGACTGAAGATAACATCAGTATTGTGCGGTGTATGATAGAGACTGACAAAAGAGTGACTTATCAGCAGATTAGGACAAGCTTAGGCCATCAGGAAGCTTTGGCGGTGGATACCTCATAATTTGATAGAGGTCCAAAAACTCTGTCATATTGATTGGTGTCTTGAAATGGCTCAAAGATTTAACGGCGGTGACTCAAATGATGTGTTCGACATACTTACAGGTGACGAAAGCTGGATTTATTGTTATGATTCTCAAAAACTAAGAGACAGTCTGCTGTCTAAGTGTTGCCAACTAAAGTGAAGAGAGGTCGAAGCGTTGGAAAAAAGATCGTGGCCTCGTTCTTCGGAAGGTCAGGACATTACGCAACAAGTAATTTAGAGGATTGAAAAACAGTTCTTGCAGAGTGGTACACTAATAATTGTTTGCAACTTGTCTTGGAAAAAGTACGGGAGAAACGACCTCGCAGTAGGATCTTCCTTCACCACGACAACGCCTCATCGCACAACGCCAAGCAAACAATCGAGTATTTGGCGACGTCAGACGTGGAATTACTGGATCACCCACCCTATAGCCCCGACCTCGCACCTAGCGAATTTTATTTATTTCCAAAAATAAAAGAATCACTTTGAGGATAACGTTTTATGGACGCCGAGGAAGCAGTGGCTGCGTTTCAAAACGCCGTCGAAGAGACCCTAAGGACGAGTGGGCAAAGTGCTTTTCTCAGTGGTTCCATCGGATGCAGCGATGTGTTGATGTAAATGGACACTACTTTGAAAATATATAATAAAAGTAAGAACTTGCTAGTTTTATCAATTTTTGATTTTTTAAGATATTTCAGTGTCACCCTCATATTTATCAAACACAACGCAAAGCGGGACAGTATTTCATGCCATCACATCGCTTGCAAGAGTGTCAATCGTGTCTTTTGTTTTATAGGAGAGGGGCAAACGAGCATACGGCTCACCTGATGATAAGTGATTACCGTCGCCCATGAACAACTGCAACAACAGGGGAATTGCAGATGCGTTGGCGGCTTTTAAAATGGAGTATGCTCTTTTCTGGAAGGTCCCTATGTCGTTTCGGTCCGGAATAATCTCTGGTGGTAGTCGATTCCACAAGAAAGTTGTGCGAGGAAGGAAACTTCTTTTAAATCGCACAGTGGTGAATCGCCAGTCATCCAGATGGTACCGCAAGTTTTGTCGCGATGTGCGATGTTGAAATTGTACGGCTGGAATTAGTCCGAACAATTCCTTAGAGCACTCCCCGTGGAAAATATGATAAAATACGCAAAGAGATGCAACATCTCTTCGCAGTGTCAGTAAGTCAAGCTGATTGGAATGAGTTCGGTCACCGACGATTCGAACTTTTCTGCGCTGGATGCGATTGGGGCACCAGTTTTTTGCAGATTGAAGCATCAAGCTCTTAGCCCCCAATCCGAGACTTTGTTGAACAAAGTCGGATTGGGGGCGACTAAATCTAATCCAGTTAAATCCCCAGAAGATATAAGTTCGCCCGTTTACCGCTAAAAAGAATCCCTTTGTCGTATCTCCTCAGTTTCAAGGCATTTCTCTTTTTGCCTCAGCCAGTATCGGAACCCTCGGCGTAAAAATATCGAGCGACGTGCAGTTTCGTAGTCACTTGGAAGAAAAGGCCAAATTGGCCTCTAAAAGCTTAGCGTCCTCAGCAGAGCGGGACAATATTTCGTGCCGGCACAGCACCTGCAACATTACAAAGCGCAGGTTCAGCCTCGCATGGAATACTGTTCTCATCTCTGGGTTGGGGCTCTCCAGTGCTAGCTCCTTCCAGTTGACCACATCCAGCGCAGAGCGGCTTGACTCTTCGATGACCGAGACCTTTCCGATCGACTCTATTAACTGGCGCCGCGAAGAGATGTTGCATCCCTTTACATTTTATTTCGCATCTACCACGGGGAGTGCTCTGAGGAATTGTTCGGATTAATCCAAACAATACCAGGGATTAACCCCAGCTGCCAAATTCCACGAACGCACATCGCGGTAAAACTCTCGATACCATCCACAACATCTGAATCCTTGACGGTCCACCACTGTACGTTTCACTAGGAATTATCTTCCGCGTACGACCTCACTGTGGAATAGTTTGCCACCGGTGATTTTTCCGGACCGATGCGACTTAGGGACCTTCAAAAAAAGAGGTTACTCCTTTCTGGCCGCCAACGCACCTGCAATTCCCCTGGTGTTAAGTGAGCCGTATGCTCGTTTGCCCACTGTCCTATAAAAAAAATATGAATTGATATTTCATGGGTTCTACGAAATGACATGAGAATTTTACAGCCTATATATGTCCCACTACTGAGGCCTCCACACAGGCACACAGACACAGGCCTCCTTTTTTTCTGAGGCGGTTTTAGGGCACGAGAATGTCCACCACCCTGCCCCAATGCGTGTTGGTGGACTTCACGTGTCTTCAAACATTTATTTTTATTTCTTAAATTATAGTTTATATATAGATTTCCTTCACCGCCGAAAAGGTCGTAAGATCCGTAGTAGCTCAGGAGCTTAGCGCTTGCTGTAGGTTTCACAGTACGCGAGCATCCCGGGTTCGATCCCCGCCGATACCAATGAAGTTGTTAATTGCAATTTTAAGTGGTGATTTACACCAGAATGTTATAGTAGCAGAACACATATAAAGGAGGATTATTTAAGAGATTGAAAACTTTAAATAATAATAAAAGACAGAAATATTGTTGGAATAATTATCTTTTATTATAATCTGGTAGATAATTTCATGGCATTTGTTTTTTAAATATGATTTCAGGCATAATACGAGTTACATAGTTCATTCGATCATTCCAATTTTTTACTACTTTTCCAATAAATCTGACCGTATGGCGTCAATGATGGCTTGAACATTGGCTTCCAATACTTCAAGAGTTGCTGGTTTGTCTCCATAAACCAATGACTTAACATAGCCCCATAAAAAGTAATCGAAAGGCGTTAACTCGCACGAACAAGGGGGCCAGTTAACACGACCATTTATTTAATTATTTTTTTTATAGGATAAGGATGACAAACGAGCAGACAGTCCACCTAATGGTAAGTGGTTGCTCACACTCACCATACGAAACACAGCAGTGTTAAGCTGCAATTTTACGCTGGTATTCTGTGAGAGCGTGGTCCTTCCCCGGTCGAGCTGACCCATTCGTGCAACAACCATAATATAACTGCAGCATGGCTCTACCACGTATAAAAATAAAGTTGTCACCAAATTAATTTTGCAATAAATTGATGATTAAGCGCACTGTAAAGAAAGTTGCGCCATCTTGTTCGACCTAAATTTCGTCGATGTTTAGCTGATTAATTTTTGGAAACAAAAAAGCACTCAGCATGGCTCCATAGCGTCTGTCATTCACCGTAACGGCAGCTCCTTCCTCAATTCGAAAGAAATTAGGATCAATGATGCCGCCATGATGTAATGGTAATTCATTAATGGCACGAAGATTGTCTTCGTTTCATATACGGTAATTTTGCTTATTCATGATGTGATTTTACCAGAAATTAGCTTCATCACTAAACACTATCTTCGATAAAAATGCTCATCTTTGGCCAGTTTCAAATTAGCCCAATGAGCAAAAATACGACGTAAACGATGGTCATTTGGCTTTAATTCTTACATGAGCTGTATGTTATGGGTACATAAGCTAAGATCCTTACGTAAAATTTTCCACGTTGTCGAAGGACAAAGGCCAACCAGTTGAGAATTGCGACAAATCGACATCTTCTTCAACAATTCCATTTGATGTACGCCCATTTTTTGTCTTGTTGATGGCTTTGAATCAAGAAGAGTAAAATTAGGGCGACAACGTTCAATAACTGCACGAATTGCTTGCTACCGATTATGTTGGACGTAAAATGAACGAACTGCTCTATGATCTTCGCGAACAGATTTTTTTTTTCAAAGTAAATTTTCACAATTTATAAGTGTTGTTATAGAGTTGAAATATTCATGATGAATTACTAAGCCTTACTGAACAGAAATGTCAACACAGTTTGACATTCTCAACTGTGAAACCATAGACAACGACTATCGGAACTTTTCATTCAGTTAAAAAAAACACAATGTATTGGGTTGGGTGCTTTTATTTCGCCACGCTGCTTTTTCGAATTTAAAATGTGTATAAAATGCTCTGTGGCTTGCTATGCATCTGAATGTTATTTTTTGGCTGGAAAGATAGATAATAAAAGGTTTTGTTTAACGCAAACGTATGTCCTTAAATATGTTTTCTAAATTAATTATAGACTTCATAGGAAACAAACACAGCATTTAACACTTCTCGACTGCGATGGTCGCAAAAAGTATAGCACGGTGGACAGTTGTAATCATATTAACTAAACTGAAAATGTCAGTATTTTTCGGATTCTTATGTGTAATAAAACATCAAATATTTCTTTACAATGCATTTGGCACTGATTTTGCGTTTATTTAATTAATAAATCATTTTCAACACATTTCTTCATGACGATATCTTTTATCACAGTTCATACATCTTTCGTTTTTTTTTTAAATTTTTGTTGCTTTGAATATAAAAAGTGTTAAGTACTCTTTTGTAAACGTGCTATTTGATATTGAACTCTCGATTTAATATATCTACAATCATACTTAAGTATTTATTCAAATAGTAGGTTTACAAATCAGTACTAACAGTAAAAACTGATAATACGAGTATGAGTATCATAAGTATTTTAATATAATGCGTGGCTTTGCTAATTTCATCATCGTGTGTCTCAGTGATCAGGCTCTGCCAGGTGGTGGTGGTGGAAGTGTCGCCAAATAGTCGAGAGCTTTCTGAATTGCCGGAGGAATCGGGGGTGGAGTTGGCAAATGGTCACCCTAAAATATAAAAAAAAACAGTTGAAACAAAAATATATTACAAAACAAATGATTCGTCAAGGACAGCCATGAGTTTTGATGTTGATAGTTTGCAAATATTTCCTTTGTATGTCTTAGCAAATGTCATATTCATTTTGGAGCCAACGTGTTAGACGTGCATTTGCATATGCATATTTTTTCTGTGTACAGTAACAATAAAAAAAAACCGTCGTCTTTTGATTTGATAAAACGTTATCGCCATTCTCAACTTATTATTTAATATTTAAATTCTGCCTTTCTCAAGAAGAATTTTTTGTAAATGTCATGAAAATATAATAGTCATGCTTTGTGTAATAGGTATCATGATAAAATAACCTAAGACCCTAAAATTAATAAATTGAATAAAACACATTTGTTACCTGAGGCTTGAAACCGTTCTCGTCATCAGCAATGTAATTAAGATTGATAACTGTGCCATCGGGAGCTGTATAGCTAAAACCTCCTTGGGCTATAATTACGTCGCTGGTGTCCGGACCAGTAGCCTTCTTCAAAGTTCCGGTTTCTTCTGCCTTAATACCATTCTCAGTTTCGTAGCTAGAAATTAAATAAACGAAAATATTTGTTGTAATAAATAAAACAAATACGTAAATTAGATTTGGTATAATTAAAAACACATATTTTTTGATAAAAATAAATATAACTTTTTTATTTATTTTAATAAAATTGAAGTTTTACTCTGAACTACTAAATGTGGCTTAAATGATTGTAAAGTCATAAATTACCTTGAAAACATACCATCGAATGCTTACCACAAATTTTTAAAGTAATATCATCGTTAACGTATGTGTATTGAAGTAGTACACAAACCTCATAACTGAGGATATTAGTGCAATAAGTAAAAAATAAGAGAGAGAGAGAGAGAGAGAGAGATAGATCTCTGTATCGAAAAAGAAAGAGAGAGAAAAAGAGTATGACAAACTACTTAAAAGAGATGCAATTATTACCTGTAAACGTAAGACCCATCAGGCTGTTGATCAAAATCCTGTTTAAGAATAGCTATAACTTTGTCAGGCTGCTGAGGTGCTGCAGCAGCAAAAGTGATAACAGCAAAAAGGAATATCAGCCTCTGTAAAAATAAAGTAATTAGTGTAACTGATGTATGAGGGGGATTTAATGCCAACACCAATTTTAAGCAATGGACTCTATTAACTAAGCGACATTCTTGCGACCCGACAAATGGTTGGACAAATCTTGAACGAATTTTCAATACATGAATAACTAAAACTAACGAACGTTGTTTTTGTTAATAGTAAAAGTGGACGAATTGTGGACGATAAAAATACATAGCTTAATCAAAAATATTGAACCCTAAAACCACAAACATGAGCAGCAGTAAGTATACAGGACTATACCCGACGGTCACTAGACAGTGTGGTGAGTATTCGTAATTTAATGTTTGCCAGTTGTTGCTTTCTTGAATAAGGTTATTTCTAGCAGTGGACTCAAAAAGTAGATAAGATAAGAAGAAAAAGAAGTTTTCCATATCAATACATTATAATATTCTAAACATAACGCCTGCATTATTTCTATAGCAAACATAAATAAACATCAATCCAAGTCTTTGCTATAACGCAGACATATTAATGCACGATTATTAGATTCTATCTGTATATTTATTATATTTTATTGATACATATAGTAGATAAGATAAGAAGAAAAAGAAGTTATCCATATCACTACATTATAATATTCTAAACATAACGCCTGCCATATTTCTATAGCAAACATAAATAAACATAAATCCAAGTCTTTGCTATAACGCAGACATACATATTAATGCATTATTATTTGATTGTGTCTGTAAATTATATTTTATTTATTTTATACCTATAGCAAGCACGTTGGCAGAGTCCGTTAAAATGTAAATAAAATACAGTAAAAATTTTAAACAATTCTTTAAAAAAATATACGTTCTTATAACTTAATGTTGAACGTTTTTTAAATTTTAATAATTAAACATAATGGATTATGATATTAGTTGCAGAGCTATGGTGGCTCAAGGACTAAGCTTACGTCGTAAATTTCATAGTACGCGGGCAACTCGGGTACGATCCCCGTAGGCACCACTTGTGTCATGCAGCACTGATTTATCAACATGCACTACATCAGCGTGTCGACCATAACACTCAGAAATGAGAAATTTATGTCTAGCGGTGGGACGTTTATAGGCTCTAACTTTATCTAATTTTCATTTACTTAGATGTGTACGAAATATTACATTAACGGTAAATAAAAATGCAGTTACTTTTATACTTTTAATCAATAATGTATTTAATAGTATCAGCTTGTTATGGCACGTTAATAGACTCCTTATTCTTACATAATGTGACTGTGTATTTATAAATAGATTGGTGTTTCTTTTATAAAGCGCTATTGTGCTCTTTTAACTTTAATATTTTACCTATGCATCTTAAACTAACAAACAGCAAGTTTGTTTCAGTAACAAATTAAAGACAATTGACGAACTGGATTCTTAACAATATTATTTGTATTCATTTGTAAAACTATATAAGTATATATCATTAAGGTTTTATCCTTTATTATTATTACATATAATATTGTCACAATATTCGATATATAAAAATTGTATATTTAAATAGATATAGGGATTTAATAATAAAACTAAATTATGCGTCAGTAGCCTAATGGCAGGGCGCGGACCGCGAACTCGAAAGGTCGTGGGTTCGAATCCGCCATTCGACTACTGTCGTGAACCACTTCTAACACAAGCATTTTAAGCTTACCAGTAGTGGTTAAAGTGAATATTAGTAATATTTAATAACATTACTAGTATTAAAAAAAATATCATTATAGTTATTTTACTCGAATGTGGATAAATTTATACATATTTTTATTAATTTTCAGAATTTTTAAATTTATTAAAACGAAGAAATTATTAAAATACGGTAGAAAAAATATTTGTGGACATAGGTATGACTTATTCTTTATTTTTGTAATACATATAATAATACTGTCTATAGATGTTGTACATTTATTAGCATAAATTTTAAAGTACTGGCCATATATAAAAGGTTTTTAACGTGAATTTGACTCTGGGCATTTTTTTCTGCTTTTTAAGCTGATACTAAAAAAAAAACAAGGACAGTATAATGGATGTAACTTCATAAAAATAAATTTTATTCCATATGTACAATGTGTGTCTCAAAGTGTTGTTTACTTGTTTCAAGACGGGTTTTTACAAATTATGGAGGAAGATAACCTGACGTACAGCTTGTTTGGTTTTGAACTTACATTCGGAATACCAGATCTCGGTGAGTGATCAAACTGTGATGAGGATACCGCACGAAGTCAATCTTTATGCTCGTAAACCACTTTGGTATCCAGCACAGCGACGAGGCAATTGCGGACGAGGGTTCAATGGGCAAACTAACATTTGGAACGGTTGCCCATGGCTAGACCATTGGCCTATTCGCCTGCCATCCAGTATTACGAATAATGCATACTTGGCGAATTCTTGGACTATTATTATTATAGCTCAAAAATCTACTGCTGTGAACATGGACCTCCCCATAGGTTGCCTCTTAAGGGGGATATTTTCCACATATTTGCAATGCTTGGTTAGGAAGACGCCTCTTGGTTTGTTTTCCTCTGTCGTCACTAACGACACCCACGGGACCATACGTACGGGAGTAGTGAATATTATAACAACACCACTATATGGTCAAGCAAAAATCTTATATGTTGGAGCAAAACTTCCCAAGAAGCTTATCCATAACAAAGAACAATTAGGGAATGGGCGGGAACACGACTTGACGTGGAACTGACCTTTTTGGGTACACAGCAATTTAAGTGCTTAGAAATGCCGTAATAAGGTACTGGTAACTGAAGTCCCATCACGCCATTTGCAGATTTTATGCTTATGGGTGATATACGTGTAGTCTTGGACAGACATCAGATTAAGCATACGTGACTTAAACATCAAAGAACAATCACAAAACAATTCAACTAATCAATTCAATAATGGCTTTACGAAATTTTCACTGGTGACATAAACTGAACTTTAATGCAATTTAGTTGAACCTGGAACCTTCCAATCCGATAAGGAGATATTAATTACCACATCATGAGTATGAACAATAGTTGAGATGTGTTTTCAGATTATTAATTTTTATTTTAATAAAATTTCATCCAAATTTGTTTTTTTTTTTAAATAACCTTTTTTGCAGTAAATAATATTTTACTGAATTTTCTGTTAGAGTAAGTATAAATATATTTTATAGGCTATGCACTTTGATATGTCTTTTTAATAAAACTCCTTAGTTTATTTGCATTACATGAAATAACCCCAGATTGTGTACTTGTATGGCTAAGTTTTATTTATTTATCGTTAGGAGTTCAATAATGCCAATATTCAGATGATAAAGAAATCAAAGAAAGAAATTCTGCAAAGTCTTTCTCAGGTTTTTCTGTGTTAACGTAGAATAATATTAAAATTAAGAAATTTAAATAACCTTTGCAAAATGCACGTTTACAGATGTTTGTCTCATTTTGTGTTGTTTTGCAAGTGCATAGAGTTGTGAGAAAATGACACAGAATTTGAGAGTTGCCTCCAAAAGACAATGTCCTACGTGCAAAAACAAAAGGTGTGCGCTTAATTAAGCGCTCGCACGGCTCACCTCAGTGAAATACAGGTACGGACTCCAGTTTGAGGGAACTCGCGAAAATATTTAGTGTTTATTTTTATTATGTTTTGCTTTATAAAATTATAATGCAAAACCTTGTTAGTGAAATATATTTTATAAATAAAATTTAAAGCAGTTTGTTCGAAATTTGAAATATTAAATAAATCTTTGAATTTTTTTTCTAAAAGTGAACTACTGCAGGCCATGGACACCTGCAGCCAACTTTAAACAAATAAGACTACAAATGCGTTGTCACCTCTGAGGACTAAGATATAATGCTTCACAGTCTGTCATTATACTGGCACAGAAATAGGTAAGAGGGACCTACCCACATACTACCATCTGGTAAAGTAGAGAGTTAGAATATCTTAGAGTAGAGAATATTCTTGATTGCCCAATTATTCTAATTTTAAAGGTAAACATGGAAAGACATATTTCTTAAAGATGAAAACGAGTGGCTCACAATCCCTCAGTGCTGTACCTTTCACATCTATTAACTCTTGATTCATTCAGAAGTATTTATCTCAATGAATTATTTCGCTTCTAAACTGTGTACAGGTAAGTTTGCTTACGTAATAATAAAGCGATAAAGGTATTGGTGGTTCGTATGTGCTATACGAACTAGCAGCACACAATGACCTCAAACTATAAAGTATGCGCTAAAACGATGCGCCGCTTGTCACTAAAGTAAGCACCGAGGTTTCTGCAAAGGTTAAGTATTGTAGGCATTTAATGCACTAGACATTGCATAATGTTCCGCTAATCTGTCCGGATGCCCTATGCACTGTCGCTATAATGCATCTTCAATATGGAAGCAAGTTAAACCGTTTTGAAATCTATAAAGCAAACAGTTTTTTTACATGTGATATTAATATTATTTTTGTATTTACTATGCATTCAAATTTATTAAAACAATATTTTCTTAGTACATAGTAATAACTAGGTCATAAGAGTCAAAATGAATGTTATTAATTCCATTTTTAAAACTTTTTTAGTTTAGAGTAACAATTCATTCTTCATCAAATATTATTTAGGTTACAACTTAATCTAGAAACCTATTCATAACTAAATATTTATAAAACATGTAAAACGTTTTTAATAAATTCAACACGGTTTGATTCATTACCGTTTCGTTAAAAAAATAATATTTTAATTTTTACTTTTGAATAAAGTCCCATTGGGTTTCTTACAGGTTCTTCTTGGGTTAGAGGGTTTTTCCCAACTAGGGGTAAAGTGAAAATGTCTTTCAATAAAAAATATTTATAATCTACGTTAATTATAGAAATCTATTCCGAATAATAGTTGTTTGTTCGCCCATATGTAATTAATGATTTTTAATTATAAAATTATATAAACAGAGAACAAGTTAAAAGCCACCTGATGGTGAGTGCATCATTATCACTACTGTTTGGTGGCAGCTCTCAGGTAGAAAATATTTTTTTTTTTATTAATTAACTGTTTTTAGAAAGTTTTTCATAAGTGGAAAAACGGGCTTTTTTGCCTAGACCTATTTAACTAGACTTGTTATTGAAAATCCTTCGTAAATTTATTTAAGAGAAAGAAAACAAAAATTAATTAAGTGGCTTTATGATACCAAATAACAATAAACCAAAGAAACAGTTAAATAATAAATATCGACGGTTTTAAATAAAATTATTTATTAAAGGACACGAAAACGGATTGTGAATGTGCCAGTGGCTATTAAAAATATATATGATATATGTAAATAAAATATTAGGATAGAATTATAAAAAATAACGTCAGAGTTTTTGAGTTAGATTTCAATAACTTATTATTAGAGGCAACTATGTTTTTGCATTTGCATAAAATTTACGTGAATGTACCTTGTACATAGTGAAACATGTTTAAATAAATAAACAATATATATTATATGAAAATACACGACATATAATCAAATTTTCGACTTGTTTAAGCTTTTACTAAAGTGTTAGTAACCGTATAACGTTAAAACTCACCATCATGTTGTATATGAAAACTGGCTATAGTGACTGATGTACTTAAGGTGCTCAAGAGATGTAATGATATCCCATGTGGCGTCTGTTGGCAGCGTGTGCGCCGGATCGTACTTAGCCATCTAATCACCTGTCCCTTTTATAGAGACGCAGTTTTGTTTAGCTATTGCAAACTGCAGGGGGAGTCTGCAATAACAGCAAAACTCAGGACCGTACTTAGAAATATTTTCTTTAAAAAATATTTTATTAAAAGTCGTTAATTTTTTATTAATTTTTTAAATCTTAAATATCTTAACACTTTAGCAACATCTACTACTATTAAAATTAAATTTGCAATACGTTTTAGCCAATCAGCGTGGGAGTATAAATTTAGTGTTAAAGAGTTCTCGTGCAATTAAGTAATTTGTAGTTTAAATTACTACCCTTTGAAGTTTTTGTTATCTCTTATTTATATTCACCTTGTTGGTTATAGACTTTATTTTGATTTAAAGATATAATAATTTTACTTGAAAGTAAATTTGAGGTTTTAAAAAATGGTATTAAATTGATCTAAATATCTGGCGTATTATTATTTAAATACCTTAAAAACATTACCATATAACATAATGTAATATGACAACAGTTGTGCATAGTAATGTTTTTTGATGAATATTATGTTCTTAGTTATATTTGCTCTCAGATGTGCACTTACTGTTTTACTTTAATTCCTTCGGTCTAACGTCGGATAAGCAAATAATTTAGGATACATTATCTTAAACCTTAATGGAGAATACTATACGTAAGCACGTTCGCTTAGGTGCGGGCAAAATCCGACATGAACTTCAGTTAAAAACTTACTACTAGATAGAATTTCAGCCTATTTGATAGTTAAAAATAATTTTATGAGCTAAAGTCTTCTAGTAAAATTTACAATATTCCTTTTAACATATCTATGTAAAATTGATTTTAAAAACATGATTTACAATTAAATTTTAAAAACATGATGACAATTATACATTAAGCATAAACAATTAAATTACAGTAAATACGTATCTGATTCCTAGAGTACCTTGAACTACTAGCTAGTATTACATACTTTAATAGAATCTTCAGCAACAGAAGTGTTTTTAGTTTGCCTTGATTTTCCATACAAATTTTCTTATTCGCCTGACATTTCCTCTTTATATAAAAGTTTGATGAATTAACTTAGAAACTATATTTTATTTTATCCATTGAGTTATATGTACTACGTACTAGAGAAGCTATTCCAAATAAAAATTGTGCGTTACTCTGTCTTCGCGCATGCGCGAAGACTTAATATAAAATAAGATATTAATATAAAATAAATATATGAAATTAATATAAAATACTTTTATTTTAATCTAAACAAACATATTTCTAAATGTGATAATAATTATCTTATGGAATTCACAAATCTTCAATTTACGCAATATTTAGTTTAGTGTATGGATTGCAGTACAGTTCAGTTGAACATAGACAATGTTCGGAATACGAAATCTAGTGCATAGTACATATACGTCGATGATTTTATCTCATTATTATAGATTGGTTTGTTTCATAAAATCATTCATCTCCAGATTAATATTCTATAAATTATTTCAATAATGAATTACTCCATCTAAAATAATATTTAATAACGAAAATTGTTTTACAAAATAAATCTTCTTATCACCCTCACCTACTCTTTTTTTAATTAATTAATTTAATATAATAAGATTTAAATTTATTCGATATAATAATATAATTAACAAACTAATTATTTATAAATTAAAATAAATACGCATACAATACACTTACTTCATTATTTACCAAAAATAATATGAAATAACGTGCCGTGTAGCGGCATAAGAAAATCCAATACACTACATTATCCCGTGGGTGTCGTAAGGGGCGATAGAAAGAAACTGAAATAGAAGATGGGCAGCAGAATCATCTTGATGAACACTTAAAAATAAGGAAAAATAACGTTTGTCAACTCGACTGACAAGCATATTAACTAAAGCAAATATGAGATATTATTAAGGGCGAAAATCTATATCTATATAGGGCGGCCCCCATGAAGATATCGCCTATGTTCACGAGTGGATATTTGATAGTTTGTAATGAATGAATGAATAAATGAAATAATGTTTTGGCGTTACTTATCCATTTTAATTCAAAGATGTTTTCTACAAAATCCTTCGTTTGCATATATTTATTAGATGTATAACAATAACCCTAAAACTTTACTCATAGTTTTAATAAAAAAATAAATTGCGACATAGTGTACGCCTACACCGTAGGTCATTCGCTCAATTAAGAAACGCGTAAGTGCCTCGTAAACTTAACGTAAATGCCTACAACCTCACAATACTTAACTTTAAGTCACAGAATATTAAGTTAAACACTGAGTCTGTTAACTATAAATAAAATTAAAGTCGAAGTCGTCACTGTAATCATCAATGGAAACCTTTTATTTGCATGTAAGGAGAAAGTCACCAGAACTTACATAGGTTACTACGTAGTGATTCATGATTTTAATGAATTCCAGCCGGTCCAACATTTATACTAAAATGAACAATAATAGTTTAGGCCGTGAAGGGAAAAGAGATCTCCCGCCAGACAAGATGTTCCGCTCGGGAAAGGATCAATGTTCTGTGTTGTAGTAGTTCAAAGCTTGTTCTATATTTATGAACCTTTGAGAATTTTGATAGCGTAATTTAGGCTTCCGTTGTTGCTCGGTTTATTTACGCTATCGTGGCTCGATGCCAGTGCCAAAAGCACAAAAATGCTTAGTCGCCTGCAAACCATAACCTGTAGTCCATAATTTAGGACTGCAGGTTTTGAACATTTAAAAAATTTATATTTTACATTCGTTTTTTTCTGTTTTGTTCTCCACTTAATGCAGCAATTAATTTAACAAAAATTAATAGCAACAAATTAACGGCAATTTCAGGCTGTAAATGTAACTGCAGGGCTATAGACACCAACATCTTTCGTAGATAATTATTCAAAATATTGTTGTGTTATCATACCTAAGGCCTTAGGTGGAGTGCCTCGTTTTCAGTTTAAAGTGTCTCTACACTCACCATACGAAACAGCGGAAATACGCTGTTATTTTTTTACTCTGATATCTGTAACAGCGTTAGTCCTTCTCCGTCGAGCCGACCCATTCGTGCTACAACCATAATATGCTTACAGCGTGGCTACTACTACGTATTATCTCGCAGGGAGTTGTCTTGCGTATTATTAAATCCATTAACAGTTTAGAAATTTATATTCAATATTTTTTTGATTTTTTCAGGTTCGGTTCAAGTTCCGGTCTGTATCGTCAATAATAATAAGATTATTAGTGATACTGGATTAAAGTCATGGTTTTTCAAGGCGTTGCCTTAGAGTATCTTTAAAGTAAAATCGTTTTATTTTATCTCATGAAGAAAAAACAAAATCAAATAGTTCAAGCGCTCGCGCTCGCCGCGTTCAGTGCCTTAAACATCAATACAATCACCACACGCGACCAGTAGGTGCTCGCCAAGACATCTTCGTGATTGTTCTAAAGATCGTATAGCGATACAGTATCAAAATACGTCTACACTAATGATCGCGATACTTGTATCGGATACGAGGTTTTATCGAAGTCGTATCAGCTCATCACATGATATATGTCTACTCGACAGTAGCGAGGATTGAGGTTACTTTTCATGTCTCCACCAAGGTAGTATAAGATAGTTTTATATGAAATATTATGGAAGGTTTATTTTCACAGTTTTCTAATATTTTTAAAAGATTGACCTCATCCAAAAAAGAAGGTGTTTTTGCGATCGCATTTGTTAGCCTACTGCCTAAAGTCTTGATTTAGTAATTAGACCCAGCTTGTTATTGTGTACCACTGCCAGTAAATAGAAGAGATTTTATTAGAGAAGTAAGAGTTACAAACAAGCACACCCCGTGAAAGTAAATTATATGGCCTATAGACATCTAAATTTATTCTTTATTAAAAATCAAAGAGCCGTGGTGGCTTAGGACCGAACTCGGATTGTTCGTGCTCGTTGTCAGTACACGAGCAACCCGGGTTCGATCCCAGCTGGCACCAATGAATTGATAATTGAAATTTTATTATAAAATATATTTTCGAAGATATGTGTCTTACTTAGTTTGATGAGCAACTCCCGCCCTCCTACAATTGAAATCATTATCCCCGTCACCACTACTCCAAACACCACTACACTAAGAAAGTCACATCACCGTCGTTAATACGACACGTGTTTCGCCTTAAAACGAGGCTTCATCAGAAGAAATAGACTCGGCAATGACTGATCGGTTATTCTTAGCGGTATTATTTTTACGTGGTAGAGGCATGCGTCAGCTATAGTATGGATATAGTTCATTCTACTGGTTGAAATTATTTTTGTACTACGACTTGGGTACGCTCTCGATCACGACCAGGATCAGGCTCTCACAGAATATCAGCGTAAAATTGCAGCTTAATGCTACTGCGTTTTGAATGGTGAGTGTTCATTCCGTTGACCCTTATTACTGGATACGAGGTATTCCATCTTTCCATCTTCGTCCTCAGGGGTGACAACGCAACTACATTTAAATTCTTAATCAAAAATAAGATGTTCATGTCTATGGGACACAGTATCCACTTACCATTAGGCGGACAGTAGTTTGTCACCCTAATTTTATAAAAAAAGTGTAGTTCTGCTATACGCAATGGGGCCACATGGCGGACATATCCTTTTCTTGGAATGACTCGTTACCAGTGTAAAGCGTTTGTAGTTCTTTTCACGCATCATACGAAACACAACAGTATTATTACGCTGGTATTCTGTGTGAGCGTGGTCCTTCACTGGCCGAGACGACGTGACCTCTCTTTTTATGCTGTTGCTGCGAGGCTCTACCAGGTACATATTTACTGAAAGATGATAGAAAAGTATGGACACAGGGTAGGAAAAGAATATAATAGACCCTTTTCCTACCTTATAATAAACCCTTTTTCTACTCATAAACAAAAAAAGGCAAAGTTAATAAAAGCGAAACGTTAATAGTTATACTATAAAATTTGTGTATTTCTTTTGTGTACTCGTACGGATTTCGGAAAGACATTTAGCTATCAGTTAGCTGCCAGATCCTCATTCGTTA